GAGCGCCACTGCGCTCCCAAGCGGCACACTGTAGCAGTGCGCCACCGGGCCGGCCCAATAATATTGTTAATAACACAGAAAATCCTGGATCATGCATTGCATTAGTGGGTATATCTCTAATATAAGGCAAGCTGAACAGATATGTAAGCTGGACAATTTCACATCTTTCTTTGTCTTACATGACACTGGCATTTTTGGAGAATACAGGTCAAGTTATTTTATAGAATGTTCCACAAGTTGGGTTGATTCGATATTTTCCTTGTGATTAGATTTAAGGTAGGCATCTTTGGCAGGAGTATCACAGAAGGGAGGTTGTGTCCTCCTTGTACACTATGTTAGGAGGCACATGATGTCACCTTACTGTGATGTTAACTTTGATCACTTGGTTAAGGTGGTGTCTCCCAGATATCTCAACTGGAAAGTTACTACTTTTTTCCCCCTTTGTAATCAATATGCATCTTAGGGAAGATATATTGAAACTCTGCAAAGACCATGTTATTCCTCAAACTTGGACCTACTAGTTTTAGCATTCATTAGAGAGTAACTGCCTGAATCCGTTACTACTGTGATTGTTAGTTACCAAGTGGTGATTTTTCTAATTCCGCCATTTCTTCTACATTTCTTAGTTGGCTTTCTCATGTAAGAAAGAGCTTTCCCTTTTCCCCCAACTTTAAAATCATTTCTCCATTTATTTATATTATATCTTTGTGTATTCCTGGATTCATGTAGTATTCAATGGCTTACAATTCTTTTTGTCAGGGGGCAGATACAGAGTTATATTTTAATACATGTATACAATGTGTAATGATCAAATCAGGGTAGTTAGCAAATTCATCATTGTAAAAATTTATCATTTCTTTGTAATGAGAACATTTGAGCTCCTCTTTTCTTGCCATTTGAGAACGTACAATAAATTATTGTTAGTTATTGATGCCTAGCACTACTGCACACCACTAGAACTTATTTTTCCTATCTAGCTGTAATTGGGTGTCCATTAACCAACTTCTCACTGTCCCCTCTTCTCTGTCCCTTTCCCAACTTTCTACTTCTTTTTTTTTTTCCTTTTTTGTCTTTTTTTTTTTACTGACCGGTAACGGGATCGCAACCCTTGGTGTTGCGCCCGTACCGCGCTCAGCCAGTGAGCGGGAACCGG